GTATATCTACGCATATATATTATGTAGTAATATTGATGTACCAGAAAATGTTGCATACGTTCGAAATGAATATGGAAGCAGTTGCAGACTAGAATTTTTAATTTTGTGTTGAATTAATTATTTGTTTATTTTATAATTCCCTTCAGTATATACTTGTCTATATGAAAACATTGTTTTCCAATATCATTATCATTACTCCTTGCAGCACACAAGTCAGTCAGTGGTTACTTGAGCGACAGTCGAATTCTAAGGGAATAGTGTCGCACAGAGAGAGCACACATGCGATTGAAAAGTTGATTATATAAATTTACAATAAGGACCAATTGTTTAGCTCAATCTTCTAGTGTTATTAAGTTAATTAATATCGTGTTATGAATGCAGTGAAGGAATAGTTGTTACATCCACAGTTTTTTAATGACAAATGAAATGAATACCATATGTGACCTCCTCTTCGCACTCATATTTACATTTGCGTTTGCAGGGCGTTTAACTTGCACTGGAATAGCAAACACAATTGTTGTCACAATTTTGATTTAATATTAATACAATCCTTGCAGCAAATGTATATATGCTTGATCGTATTGGGTAACTTAAAGGATTTTCACGAAGGGTATTAAGATAAATTTCAGTTCCCTATTTATCCCATTAACGATTTCTGAACGGGTTCAGCTGCCTAGGGCCAAGTTTTAAACCATCCTATAATCATCTCTTTTTCCCTTTAATTAGTTATCATTTCTCCTTTTTACAGTAATTGCTGCTGATAGCATTACTTAGAGACGGCTCCTTCTTCACCTCAGCGGCCACCATGGTTACTTAAAGCCAAAGTTAATAATTCAAATCCATTGTTTTCCTAGATTTTTCGTCATCTTTCATCTCTCCTGCGAATCTTGTCAGGTGAGATGTGCATTGCTTAGAATATAATTTAATTTTTCCAAAGTTCAAAAGTTGCATTTACATGTCAATGCAGCGAAAAAGACAGGCGTAAATGTATGCCAAAATGTCATTTAGAATTGAAACAAACATGTACTATACGTATTAGCTTGCGGCAGTTACACATATAAATAGAGATGCCTACGCAAAAACAAGGAAAGCAATTATTATAAATTATGTATGGCTTAGGGTAAGGAAATATATGAGAATACATAAAATTTTAAGCAGAGGAATATCGGCGGCAGGATGAATAATACTATTTATCGAATTGAATTGTGCATTGTGTGATGAAAGTGAAATTTCAAAGAGAGCAAATTAAATAGTTATAGTCAACCAAGTTCTGCGATTAAATAATCTACACTATTTCGTCTAAGATCATTCGCAATAAAATATCAAAAAAAATTTTCCTTAAAAACATGCAGAGAAAAACGAAAAACAATTCATATTCTATGCGGTTTTTTGTTTTTATGTAATTATTTATACTTAGAACTTTTAACGCGACTTGGCCGCAAAATATTTCAAACTTCTTGAACTTTGAATTTTCACTAATTTCATGACGAATATACTCGTCATAAGACAACACTTTATAGTGTTTTCATGACGAGTATACTCGGTTCAACTGATTCCGATAGAATACATAAAAGGTTATTGTTGCAAGCTTTTTTTGACTTTTAGGAGCGAAGGTGGTCTCAGTTTAAATGGTATTGTAGAACATTCATTTATTTTCGATATCGACATTCGCCTATGAATTTCCAATGTTTCTGCTAAATTTCAAAGCAATATTTTCATTTTTGCAACCAGGAAAATGTTTACCATAGTTGGACAGACAGACATAGGAACCCTTTTTTTTTAAATCAATTCATGAATATGAAGAAAATATATATATATATATATATAGTTTGTGGAGAGACCAATGACGCTTTCTTCTAGGTGTTGCAAACGGCCAAATGAATAAAAGCTCATCGTTTGTAGGTGGGCGGAAAAACGAATGATTTGTTTTGCTAAAAATTTTCTTTTCCAAACGAGACAAAAAATAATGTAAAATCTTCTCCAAAGTATTGTATAAAAATAAATTTGATGTTTTATTGTGCGTCTCTGATAAACATTTTCATTTGTATAAAACAGCTTTACTATGCATTTATGCTTTTATGAATTTTCAATACAATCTGCTTTAATAAAGTTTCACCACCCATTGAGATATCCTCTATTACATAGGAAAAGGATAATTGCTACGGTAACAGCTTCATGCATATGTATTTGTACTCTCTTTATGAATACGCAATAATTGAAATAAGAGACTGACTGTCAGCAGGTGCTTGCATATATTATCGTTTCAGGAATTCTCAATGCATTCACTTACCGTACTTTGTCCCTTTATTTCGTCATTTAAATCAAGTTTTATTCATATTTTTAATGAGTACGAAAGAAAAGAATGAATGGACAGCCTTTTAATTATATTAAGTAATTTAAATTTTAGACCGATGGAAAAACTTATGTAAAATTTGCAAAGTTTTCAGCGCCATAGCATAAATTGCTAAGAGACAACGTATTTGTAAATAAAGTCGTAAGCATTTTTCCGAATTATTTTTTCAGGTTTCATCATTTCGTATTCTTAACAAATACTGGCACATAATACGGTTCATGAATTTTTTCTTGATGTAATAAGTAAATGGAATTGTCAAAGCAAAGAAAAAGGAAAGAGATTTTTGATCAAAACTCATTGCCTACAATATAGTTATACGAAGACCACTGCCCCACGTTTTTTTCGGAGACATGGCCTTCAACCCATTGTCTCATTTATTTGCGGTCTCTCAATTTTTTTTTCTTTCTAGCGGTACTCACCTTAGTTTCGCAAAACAAAAAGCGGAATGAAGCCTTACTATGTACGATATATTTCCTTTTCGATCTTTGCTGATTCACTTCATTTAACGCTTTGTTTAGATTGCAAAGATTTGCAAGATATTCAAACGTCAGACTGAATCTATACATCCATTGTAAAGTTATTCATATGATATGAAGGCGTTTTTTTTAACGAGGTGTTATATTGGAAGTCCACGAAAAAATGGTCCAATCCGAACCATTCTCAATAGCGTTCGTCCTTGTGGAGAAAACAAGGCAGGAAAAGGGCTAGACAAGCTTAACTCGGGTTAGAATGTGATGGGTATAATAAAAAGTGGCTCTGTCCCAAGGCCCTCTGTTTGTTGCATACATCCGAACAAACTTAAAACACTTTTGTGCAGCAAGCCCCGCAAGTCGTAGGGCACTAAAATAGTATGAATATATAAACAAAGTAAGGAGTAAATTTAAAAAGAGCTCAATTATAATATTTTCACAGTTTAAGCGGCTTACACCCACGGGCTGGCCTTATGACCTGCCACTAATTGTAAGCAAACCTAACATTTTTCCATCCAATTTTTCATCCAATGCGATATCTGCGATATTACTTAGAATAAAAATTCAAAAATCACGATCAAGAATTAACGAGAAGAGAAAAATGGAAGAATTTATAGAAACGAACAAAAGATGCACAAGTGAATTAGATGAGCATTGCTAAGTTTAGTTACAATCTTACCCCCATAATGAACGTCAAATAATTTAATATAGGTTGACAACCGCAGAAGTGCGCTCAACATAACATCGAAAAAAACGAAAGAACGCTACAGTCGGGCAAGGTCGAGCATTACATATATTACACTACTTTGCTTAACTAATATTATACAAAAAATCATACATTACTTTAATGTAAATGCGTATCTTCATGAAAACCCTGATATTGGAGAGTACTCTGGATAAACGTCAAGGCGATCTAATTTTAGAAAACTTAGTTTCCTTCTTAAGGATTTTATTATTTTCCAACTGCCTCAGTCGTAACAAATGATAAATTACGACTTTGCCGTTTGCTTTCATGAAGGTCTCTACATGTAAGATGCGGTCTAAAAAAAAAATAGGTGTACCTGATCTAAATGCCCTATGATTAATTTATTAAGAACGAATTTTTATCATGAAATATTAAAAATTAGGCCTTGTTGACATGTGAAGCCTTATATTTTATTGGAATCCTTATTGGGACTGGAATAAAAAAAAAGCATACGTACGTCACCTAAATTAGGTAAGGTTAACTTTTGTGATAAATTTTTATATTGAACGTAAATTAACCGTAGGGAAGGGTAATTTACTAAGCATAAATTTTCTTAATAAAATATTTAAAATTAGACTTTGTCGACATATCTACCTCTTTACTTTTCATTACAATTCTCTTAGGGGATGGGATCTAAAAACTAGATCTACGTGGTCTATATTCGGTAAGGTTAGTTTTTAGGTCAAATTTTCATCATGAACGATATTTTATCAGGAAGTATTACAAATTAGGCCTTTACCGCACCATGATTCAGTTTCCTTACGAACGGTTGTATGGCAAAGGGTCCAAGTAATTAGGTCACCCAACTCAAAGTTTTCAGACCAATTCAGAAGGTGAAAATACTATTACCGGACGATTATTTCCGGGATATTATAAAAATTACAATATTTTTACTTATCACTACTCAACAAAATAAGGCGTAATGTGAAGAGTTGTCGAAAAACCATTTCTAATGGTGTTCGTCCTTTGACCAAAACACTTTAATGTACGAAATTTCATCAAAATATCTTAAAAATTGCGATCTATAGTTTGGAGCGAAGCAACAGCACGGACAGACAAACTTAGATCGACTCGCAATTATTTGATATAACATATAGATGAGTCTATCTCGAGTGAGAGATCTCGTGCTAGAACCTGCCCATACTTAACATTCCCTGTATGTATCACAGGCGGTATAGACTATAATTATTATCGCGTAGCCGTATGAATCGAATGAATGAAATGATATATATATATATATGTGAACGTTTAAATTGGATATTTTATTGATCAACTTTCTGTTATATTTTAGTTATGACATAATTGAAGCATATTTCTGGGTATTATAAACTTTTTAACATTCATCTTTTTTCTCTTCCACTCTGATTTCAAATTTCAAACTTACATATATACACACACACATATGTATATATATACATATATATATATAAAGAAGAAGATTCGGGTAGTTAAAAAAAAAAAAGAGAAAAATATTGGAAAAATATAGCGATAATTGGCATTTAAGTGACAAAACTTAAAGGCATTTCATGCTGTCACTGTTATCATCATCGCCTCAATACATTTACAATAAAAAGCACTTTCACTACCACATCTGTATTGATAAACTTTATTCATTCCCTACTCTCATCTCTAATTATCAACGCTATCGCCATCCGACGTCATCAAGTTCTTCATACATGTAAATATACATATATACATATAAATGTATATACATATATATGTATATATAAATGACGCTACAGAGAAGATATACGTAACTGTTATACATCTATAAATAATCGTTAAGACCTCATAACGAAGATATCATCTGAATCCATCCAAACGATTATCGTACGTAATAGAAAAACGATCGAAATATTTGTTTGTGAATTGTGTGCAAAAGCAATCTCATTGAATTAGTGTAATTGCCACGCATTACGCAAACACACCACCAAACATATAATAATAATAATAATGAGTGTTTGGAAACGTATTGCATGCAATCCAGAAGCTAAACAGTCTATGATACAATACTACGATGAGAAGGGCCTGGCCGACGTACGCGTATGCTTAGCACCATGGATTGAGGAGCGTATTATGTAAGTATCGAAACATTTCTGCATTGTGTACATGGTAACTGATAGCTTGTATGTGTGAGTGCGTGTATGTATGCATAGATGTATGCGTGTAGTTTGTGCATGAGCCGCGTACAACATGAATGCATTAAACATTTTCCTCATTATATTCTCTCTCTCTCTCTCTCTCTCTCTCTCTCTCTCTCTAACAAAATTTTACTGCAACAACCCTAAAAACAATAAAACAAAAACAAAATAAAAACTTTTAATAACTAAAGTGCTACTCAATTATGCACCTTTTAAATATTTTATGAACTTGCACTCCAAGAAAGAAAGTGTATGTGCGCATAATTTTCTCTTATTGAATATTATACGCAGCGTATAAAAAAAAAAAAAACAGTAATTTATGCTTTAATTGAATTAATGCAGAGAAGAGCAAAAAAAAAAAAAGAAAAAAAAATCATATTTGCATTTTTCCCAATAATCACTGTATACTCTAGAATTTAAATTCATTTCATTCCCAACATGTGGCGGAATTAATTAAAGCCTTCTGCTGCTGCACTTTTTTATGTCATCTTCATTTCTTTATATTTTTTGTTGATTCATTCATATGAGATTATTTTTTGTCTTTAACAACTCAATTCCATAAACATACATAACTAAGTGAATAGAAAGAAAGAAACTTTTTCAATTGATCGCATTTTTATATCCGCCATTAACTACTACACCTAGTGCATAATGAGTGTACATGCGTCCTTGAGGGTGAAAGCAAACACCTTGATATTAATGTTGCCTGCGATTTGCACGCATAATTCGGTTTGCTGCAGTTATGCAAGGAACTTCTTCTTCTTTTTATACAATCGAATAAAAATTCTTTTACTCAGTCTTGCTAATACGTTTAAAAAGAACCACAACCGCCCCACCCTGTTTATCTGTAATTTATGCGGCGATGTTCCAAATTCTATACGCTTTAATATAATAAGGTACAAGAGAGACATTCTGTTTACTTTTTCTTTTTTTTTTTCTTTTTTTTTATTGCTTTCTACCTCACTTTTGGTATAGGTTAGGTTTAGTTTTGACGGACGTATGTAACACCCGGAGGAGCTTAAAACAGATTCACTTCTTACTATAACCGCTCGATTTAGAATAATTTCCTGAATCATCTTCTAAATCTTCTGAAAGCTTGTCTGTCCGGCTGTCCGTCTGTCCACCTAATGTTTGCCCATTTGTTTCACATACAATTTTTGAAATGTTTTAATGATATTCGGAATACTGAGATGCCTTGGCTTTGGTTATTGAAAAATGATTCGAGCGCAGCCTAGATAAACACTTTTCAACAAAGTCTCTGAGTGATAGTATTTCGACATTCTAAATTGGTATGAGAAATTTTATTAAGCTGGGAAAATTTTTTAAATTCCTTCTCATAAAATCATTCCTATGGATACAGAATCGTTATGTGATAAAGAGGTGTGGTTTTCAATATTTTACGGTGAAAATTGGTCCGTAGTAGTGAATTGACAAAGCAAGCAACGTTAACGAATTTGAGCGACGTAGGTGTATTTTTCGAATTCCACTGGACATATAGGTATACTCGGCAAATGTAGATTCTTATATGTCAAAAAGTTTTATAATGAAAATGTGTTGATGATCCCTTGGATCCCCATCGAATAAGATTTCTCTTCTAAAAGACGGTTAATTTTCAATATTTTATGATGAGAATTACCAAAGAATAACGGTACGATAGGATTTGAATTAAATAGCTCCAGTTTTTAGGTCCTAACATCATATTACGGGATGATCGTGAAAAGCAAGCTCACAGTACACAGAGAAATCGTGTTTTTTATATTTTATGACGGACACTGAAAAATAATAAAATTTTTTGCAAGTAAATAAAGTTTGCAAAATTTAGATCGTGTCATTTGATGTTGCGGGCCTCCTCGAATATGCGGGCTTTTATGAAAAATGTGACTTAACAAATAATGCGTTATATTTGGTGTATTATTGCCAAGACGAGTGAATACTGCGTGAGAACTGCACTAGGCGAAGTGATGTAGAGTATCTAATGGTCGGCTCTGTCCGACTGTAATGTCCTTGGATTTTTCTATTTTTTTTTTTTATTGTTATCATAAAGTGTCCAAGATTTGAGGCATTTTTATGCTTTAACTTTCAAATTTTTTTTTAAATTTCTTAAAATCAGACTAAAATTTTTCGATTATTTGTTGATTGGAATCATTTATCTCTTCTGCTCGCGACAGTTTTTTTGTGTCTTATAAGAAGTAAGCTTCAATTTTTTTACTAGAATCAGACAAAAAATTCCCTAGAATTTCATAAGAACACAGTCCTTCATATTAGGCTTTGGTGATGTGTTGTTATGTAGACCAATTTTTTTTGTAAAGATCGATTTTCTGAACATGTTTGTGGAAGTATAGTTCTTCTAGAATTTTTGTATATGATTAAGTTACTACAACGTACAACACTTTTGCTACAAGGTTGTATCAAGTTAGTGCAAAGACGCACAAGGACCCGTCCACCTTTGATTGTAACTCTCTGTCTGTCTGTCTACCTTATTTTTTTGCGATCAAGTAGAGCAGGTTGTGACCCACTACAGTGTTTTAGGTGCATGCTTTAGTTTGAAATTGTATTTTATTAAGAAAAGAGGTAGCGCTCGCTCTTAAACCATCGCTTAGTAAACTAAATATAGATGCTTTTTCATTAAGTGACTTTTAAATGTGAATAAATTGTTCTCTTACAAATGGCACAAATAAACTTGTGGGATCATGTTAAAGATCTTGTTATTGTAAGAAAGATGAAGAACCTATTATTATTATTATTAATATTATTATTATTATTATTATTAATTTCGCCAGAGAAAAGTTTTTAAGATTAAAGTGTTAAAGTACTGGCATCTAAGGCTATCGGTTTTATTGAAAAGTCTACCGCACTTCAGATTTGAACCCATGACCATTAGATTGTTAGCGGCGATCCTTTGCCTACTCGGCCACTCAGGCGGAAAAAGAACCTTTCCAAGTTAAAGCAGTCTATAATTATAAAAATTGTTATGAAATTAATAGCTTTTTCATTTTCATCATTTCATTTATAGTTCTGATCGCAATACCACATCAACTGAAATATACGAACGCGTTGCTCATCGATTTTATGAGGATCTCAAACAGAGACTCGTACAATTGGGCAACGGTAATTTGATGAAATTTAAAATTAACGAAATTTGCACAAGTGTAACACAAACATCAGCCGTGGATCTATACGCACATTTACGTAACGGTCTTCAGCGTGAACTGCAGCTGTTGGACCAAATGCCGCAATATCCTTATATGGCTGGCGTGGGCGTTAATGGTAGCACTAGCGCGAGCATGATTGGCGGTAATAGTACAGTTGTGATGCCAGCCATGCATACACCAACAATTCATGGCACTGGTAATGGCAGCTCATATAGTGGCGATGCTTTGTATGCAGCTCACAATCATATTCATAATTTAAATCTAAGCATTACACGCGTGTTTACCGAGTTGCAACAATTTCGTGCTAGTTATGAGACATTTCATGGCTGCTTTAATACCTATAATCAACGTAAAGCTGTAATGTCATCTCAAGAATTGCAAACAACCGATTTGCAATTAAAGGAACAATGTACCATATTGGCGAGCAGTCGTAACAATATTTTACACGATTTGCGACGTATCATTACCGAATACGACTCAATACAGGAAACTGTGATAAATGAACTAAAAAATTGGCAACACAATCAGGCATTGGCAGGCAATGGTGCACCGTTCCGTGATAATCTTGATGACATTCAACGTTGCATTGAACTATTGGTCGAGACAGTTGGCAAAATTCTAGATATTGTAAATATATTACAACCTTTGAGAATTGATAATAACGACGACATGAGTGAATTGATTACCCACGTACGCAGTGCACAACAATTGTTGGTATTATCGTCATTTATTGTAGAAAAACAACCGCCACAGGTTATGAAAACCAACACCAGGTATATATATATATATATATATTTTTTTTTTTTTTTTATTTTTTTTCCTGACAATTTAAGAGCAAATCAAATGCCTCCCAATCTATATCGGTTATTATGCGATCAGCTATATACGTACATGATTGCTTTCGTTTCTTTCTAAACTTTCTAGATTTGCTGCTGCTGTGCGATGGCTTATTGGTCCACAGTTGGGTATAAGCGTCAACAATCCATCCGTCGAGTGCATAATACTATCAGGTGAGTGTAATCAAAATCTTATTATTATCAGTTTTCAGGTCGCATTTACTTCGACTTCAAAGCGCGGGATTGTTATTTCATTGTTATTATTTTAGGATTTTTTTTCATTCAAATATTCAAAATTCCTCTTAAATATGTATGTTTGTAAGTTTTGATACGAATTGTTAATTGAAGCATGAATGTTTCATAAATTATTTTCATAACGGTTTAACCTTTGCTAAGAATTTTCAAATGTTTGTTCAATTTGTAATCGAATCTATCTATCTATATATGTCTTGTTATGCACATTTCTAGTAATTGGAAACTTTAATAGCGTATAGATTATACATAGTTGTTTACATGACCACAAAATACACCTGATTTTCTAATGTTTTCATTGTGCTGGATACGTACAAACGAATGAACAAAAAAACTTATATCAATTTACGCTCTACTATATGTATATACGAGGTCTGTTCGAAGGAGGCGTGTGTATCGAAATATGTTTAATTACTCGTTAATACCTACTTTGTCCCCTTCAAAATAATCTTCTTTGGATATAATACACTTGGGCCAGCTTTGAGCTCTCGATGCGGCGATGCGGTCTTTATCTTCTTAATCGCGGCAACTGGGTCTTTTGCGGGATATTTTCCGTTTTGGGAACAGAAAAAAGGCCGCAGATGGTCAAGTCCGATGCCTACGGCGGCTGAGCCATAATTACGACGTTGTTTTTAGCCAAACATGCAATGACGTGTGAGCGGTTGCATTGTCGTGTGGTTGCTCGACGATTCCAAACTTTTTTTTTTCATATTGCTTCGCACAAACAGCGCATAACGTCAATCTAATCTAATATTCCGAAATGACAGTAACGCCAACCGATATGTCTTTTCTGCATCGATCGTTGACATGGTGAGGCGTGCAGGACGGGCATACTCATAATCATTACTCTTCGCGGCCTTCTGTGAACAGACTCGCCAAATTCCGCTGTAACCATTTTAAGTGTGTTGGAGTTAGTTTTATTTTACACACAAAATTTAACACAAATTCTTTGATCCATTTTTATCGAGAGCAAAACATCGCCAATCACGTTAAAATGCGTCTAAGCTCTATGATTATAAAAATGCAAAATGTCTGATAAAGTCGACACATGATAGGAACATGTGTACCAACGTTAAAAACAAAAAATTCGAAAACCAAACATTTGAAAAGTCATCCTTTCTTTTTGAACATACCTCGTATGTACAAAAATTAGAAATGTATATAATTGATTTTTATGTTATTATAGGACGCATTGAAAAACAACAAGAGACAATGTGATTGTTTGATTACATTGAACTGATTGCACAAATGTGTTTTTTTTTTCCTAAATTTTTGTGAAGATTTCAAAACTATTTTTTTTATACCTATAACCAAAAGATGATTCATTTCATCCACACGTTTGCAACATCCAGAAGGAAGCTTCAGGGAACCCATGCACTATATATGTGTATTCTTAATGAACAGCAATTAATCATGTCCGTCTGCCTGATCACATCTGTAATGCCTTTAGTGATCATTCTCCTAACCGCAAAAATGAAGCTATCGGTTTTAAATTTGGCACAAAATTTTGAAAATTCTTCTTCGTAGATTATCATAGAAAATCAGACAAATTGGTCAGAGCACACAAACATGCACTGTTCTAAGTTGTAATGGTTGAGGATTCGTTTTTTCCTAGCAGTATAATCAATTGTTTATCAAACGAAAGGTCATCGAGAGTAGAATACGACAAGCTAAGCATGCTAACTTGAAAATAAATAACGTGGACGTTTCGACGTGGTGGGATTAAGTTTTTCTCCACAAACCGTTATGTCGATATATGGGCATTGAAGCAAAGGACTTGGAGAGTAGTTACAGATAGAAGATGATTTTTCGCTTATAAACTATAACAGACCTACGAGCTAAATTCTCACTTTTCTTCCACGAGAATGGAAAAAATCGGTCACATCGGATTTTATAGAGAAAAAGTAAATAAGTATAAAAATCTCGAGCTATTGCTTAATGCTAAAATTTTTACCTCCTTCCAAAACGGTTGGTAATTCACCCAAATCGAAACATAGTTCTCCTTTCTACTTTTGTTCAGAATGGGGTGGAACTTGAAGAAAAGTTCTCTCTAAAATCGACTTTCCAAACACTCGATCAATGGTTTGCTTTTCTTTTCACTTCGTACAGAGGCTCAAGCTCAGCGTCATTCTGCGCAGCGTACTATGTCGGAAGCCTCGACCAGTACACCGGCTTCCTCTGGGGAAATTGTTAATAACATTGGCACTATGGAGTATAATAGTCAGACTCGGGTATTTTCAGCGAGTTTCAGGTAAGTACAAATGTAATTTTATTAGATATGTAATGTAAAATTTCAAAAATTTCAGAACAATGCAATTGAAAAAAATAAAACGAGCCGAAAAAAAGGGCACTGAAAGCGTAATGGATGAAAAGTTTGCTTTACTGTTCTACACATCAGTGATAGTTAATGATTATAGAATAAGGGTTAGTTGCAAAAACATGTTTTTCTTTCTTGCATGCGTGACACTATTTTTTTTGTGTTTACATTATAATTATTATTGTTTGTTATTTTTATGATAAATGCTTAGGTCTGGACTCTATCATTACCGGTAGTGGTTATAGTTCACGGCAATCAAGAACCTCAATCATGGGCTACCATCACTTGGGACAATGCTTTCTCAGATATTGTGCGTGAGCCTTTCCAAGTACCCGAAAGGGTGTCGTGGTCTCAATTAGCATTGGCTTTAAATACAAAATTTGAATCGTCCACGGGTCGTGCTTTAACCGAAGATAACTTACATTTTATTTGTAAGTCTTTTATTATTGCTTTGCTTGCGTATGCATTTAATATATAAAAGTTATGCCCACCATCGGAAAATCGAAAAAATGTTATACAAAATCGAAAGGTATATTAGGATTCCAAGTCGATTTGGTTATCTCCATTCATTAATCCGTTGCGTTTGTATTACAGTCTTGCGGATCAAATTATAGCATTTGGCATGATCCATCCTTAACACTAGGATTACCGAGTACGTCGTTTTGACCCAAATATTCGTCGCCATCACTTTCGTGTTTAATGCAAAAATAGCCTCGATCGGTTTATTATTATGACTATGGCCACAAATTACGATGAAATTTGAATTCCAATTTATTTCCATTTATTATAGGGCACACTAGCATTTTTCCCACCCAATAAATAATTGTGGCCGTATTAGTGATCGAGACAACTTTTGGTCCAAACGTGTAGGTGGACTTAACGACTATTTGGGTGGCAAACTTTCCGAAATGTCTTGACAAGGTCGCATACCACATTACCGCAAATCGTCGTTTTTAACCGTACCGTACCGTACCGCCCGCGTTTAAACGACCTACCAGCAGCAGTATTTCCTGTCGTATCTGATGTCTTCATATTCAAGTCGCATGTTCACAAACATTCTTCCCTTTCTTCATGCCTTTCTCTCTTTCTGATAGCTATCGTGTCCGCATCCCCTGAGTGGTTGGTCTTAAAAAAAAAACAAAATTTTTGCTAAATTGAAAGTTACAATAGTTTTTCCTTCATGATAAGCGTGATTCTCAATTGATCAAGGGACGTTTATGCCAAATTTTATCTTCCTATTTTCATTCTTACGGCTGTATCGCAAGTCGACAAAAAAAGTTGATCAAGCCGATACCTGCTGTAGAAGCAGATATATGCAAAATGTCGGTAGATCAAGTGTTCTAATAGCATAAAGTTTAAACAAGTATGAAATAAGGAGAATGTTTCAAAGACATCCTGCCTCCGTTCTAGTCTGACACCAGTGTTATCGTGCTCATAATTGAAAAAAAAAAATGCCACGTTGTTCTTATATCGTCTGATTTAGAGATGATGGTGGGGGCAGTCAAAATTCTTCGCAACGCGATTATCTTATTCCTTTTTGTTTTTGTTTTCAGATGAGAAACTATTCCGTCATAACGGTATAGCTGGAGGTGATCATAAAGATTACATAACGTGGGCTCAATTCTGCAAGGAACCATTACCCGATCGTACGTTTACATTTTGGGATTGGTTTTTTGCTATCATGAAACTAACCAAAGATCATTTGTTAAGCCTTTGGAAGGCTGGTTTAATTGTTGGATTTATTAATAAGCGTAAAGCTGATGAGCTATTGCGGGTATCGCCACCAGGCACATTCCTATTGCGCTTCTCGGACAGTGAATTGGGTACGATTAGAAATTGCATTCACCCTAAGCTACCGTTCATTTAAAAAATATCTTTGAATGTTATTTGAAAAATTAAAACACTTTTCCCTTTCTCTTTAGGTGGTATTACTGTAGGTTTAGTGAATGACCAAAATTCAGTTTTAATGTTATCACCGTGGACCGCTCGTGATTTAAATATACGTTGTCTTGCTGATCGCATACACGATATCGATGCTTTGCGTTGCGTTTATCCGTCAAATCGTCAACGCGACGATGCTTTTGGCGAATTTTATACACAAAGAATGGGTAAGTAAAAAATAAATTAAATATATATAGGTCTTCAGCTTAGCCATTACTACTAAAGCGAATTCGAATGCTGAAGAGCGGTTTTACTTTTCTTCTTTTATTTTAAAAGTTGTTCCCAGGGTGCACTATACTATACTCGCAAATCAGTAATTAAGTGCCGCTTTGATGCAAATATAATTGTTGTTACATATATATTGATTTAAATTCTCTTAACGAAAAGATGCATAATGAGCCGAAAATCCTTCAAAAAAGCTTGAAGTTAGGTGCTAGTGTTAGGTTTCTCACGAATAAGATAAACAAATCTCAATCAAAGGAGAGCTCCACCATTAATCAAATCATTTTTCAACATTTCAGATGAGACAACACGTCGTGACGGATACGTAACGAATACTATAAAAGCTCATGTGCCAGCTATTGAAAATAATTTAAGTGGAACACCACAGCATCAGATACAATCGCCGCATTCACAGGACGTGACAATGGAAAGGTAAGTACAAGTGTTTTTTTTATCATTTTATTAATCATTCAAATTTAACCTAAACAAAGTACATGTTAAAACATGTACATTACATTACATTACATTGCATTGCATTGCATTGTTACACGCTTATTGAAGAGAAATGAAAGCAGAATAATAAAAATCTTTGAATTTGTTGTCAATTATGCTAAAGGCTTGCAGTTCAAAATTATTGCTATTGGCCAACTCGTGAAGTTTTAATTTAGACGCAGCTTTATTTTTCATTCTTTATTTGCTCGCATTCGATGACCTCTCTAACATCCATTTATTGTATATTTCCATCTTCTTATAAGTTTCTTTTCTCTTTGCACAGTAGACAAAGCACAATTGAAAACATTCGTAAGATTCTTATTGAATTTATGCATAAATCTGTTAAAACTTTGCAGAGTGCGTTCATACTTGTTTTTTCGTCTGCTCTTTCTTTTCCTTTTCATATGGAATGTTTTGCATATTAAATAAAAACTGAAAATTGTTCCCATATTTATCACACTTTTCTTCAACAAAAAATTATAAATTCTTTGTGTATAAGTTTGCGAAAAAATATGCAGAATACGGAGAGTGAAGCTGTGTGGTGAAGTGTTTTAGAGCAAAGTTATGAGAGACATTTTTTAAAATGCTTGCTTTTCAAGGGCTCGTGGATCTACTAGTTGATCCGTTACTATTAATCTTCACCAAATCAAGCCTTCACCCGATACTGCTCGACATGTGAGAATGACAAAACTCCCCCGTACTCTCAACGTTTGACCAATCAACACATTTACGCTAATAATTTGTCCGATTTCTCATTTGGAATTTATGCATAGATATTTAATATTTTATTCTTTTTATATCCATCATCGGAGGATGAAGGCTGTATTCGCCTTGTTAAAACGTTTGCAATGCTCAGAAGGGAGCTTCAGGGAACCCACAAAATATATGTATTCTTGAATAGATTTAAGCCGGTCCGTCGCGTATTCTGTCCGTCTGTGTAATGTCTGTTGTAAAAAGATAACCCTGGCCGCAAAAATTAAGCCATCGACTTCAGATTTGGCACAAACATTGAAAGCAGATTGGTATTGAATATGGGTCAAAGGGATCGAAGGACGCGACTACAGCACTACGTAAACTGAGTAAATATTAGTTTTTCAGAAGGAATAAATAATTGGTTTTTTGCACATTACTCACTAACAAACGGAATGCACGTAAGGTGTCTGTCCGTGTGTCCGTTTGCCAAAGTTTGTAATACAGTTTAGTAATTAGTGTAAAAGTGAAGATATCGCCTACAAATTTGCAAAAAATGTGAAAATGACGTACACCAGTCAAAAGACGTACCTACATGCCTATACAATAGAAGCTGAGAAGATTTTGCTTTCCTTGTTTTTTGCTCGATACTCAACAGATAAATCTACAAAGATCTGAGCGTATATTCTGTGGGTGAAATTGGAATAATTGGCTATCAACTACTATTGTGTACCAAAACTTTGTAAAGCGCATAATCATGGGGCTAAAAAGCCCCAACAAGTATGAAAATTCTCGTCCAATTTCAAATGCGGAATGCACCTACGCATTTCCCTCTGTTCGTCTGTTCAAGAATTTGGAAATGACCAAAGCCGATCAAACGACATGTTTATAACGCCCACTCGCCTATACAACAAACATTGTGAACAATTGTAGTCATACAATACAACACACACACATCATATAAATTGCACTTTTTAATTTGAAAAATAGGAAAACTCAATCGCGCCCGTCCAATATTATACAACACGGAATTTAGTTTTTCTTTGTTTAGTCTTCTTCTAGGGCAACGGTGATGGATATACAAAATTCGTTCACCATGAAATAATTTTTTTTTTTTTGGCTTTCCTTTTTTTTTTTTTGGGATAATCAGTAACCGTAAAAGCAATTACTACTTAACATCTCTCTTATTTCGCCGATTTCGATATCATTGCGTATATCATCTTTTGTGTTTAGTCATTAACGTAAAAAAATATTGTTCTCAAGTTTACTCTTTCTTTATCTGTAACTCGAAATCAGCTCTGCTGTGTGCAATAACATTACCACTGAAGATCTCGATATGCTTATCAATGGAGCGAATTTTAATATTGCAGATGTTAATTGGGAAATGTATTGAAATATATGCGCATAAGGGTGCGCATGCTTAAAATGCCTAGAAAAAAAAGTCTGATCATGTCAAAAATGTTTACGAATGAATGTCTAAATAAACTAATAATAATTATAATTAAGCATTATATATTCATTATCGCTATTTTCTCTTCCTTGGTGGCGGAAAACGCGAACAATTGACGTATTAAGCGACGTATATTCTCAACATTCTCAATTGGCTGAAGGTATTTAATATTTTTGTTTTTTTTTACTGTTTTTCTTGCTTTAACTATGTTTCATAAATTTCCTCCTCTTTTTCCTCCCATGTTTTCGTTAGTTTGTTTCTTATATTTTTTTCGCCCGTACACCGTCATCTTGCAACATTTTCCTTCCTTCTTGTTTGTTCAATTTTTTAGTGAGAATTAACTCATTTAATTCATTCACCCAATCACCTGTGACCACCGCTACGACCTGCCACCATTGACCATCAATTAAACAGCCAATCACTTTTTTCATTTCACTTGAAATTATTAAATGCATAAATAATTCATTAGCATACCCTTCTTATTTCTTTTCCTCACTAACATAATTGTAGGTTATTTGACTTTCACAATGTAAATATATCTGTGTATAGCGATATATATAGTTGTTGTATTAGCACAACTTCTCAACTCTTCTCAAGGCTTAACACTTTTTCCCCCCTTCATGTCAAAAATTGCTTCTAACATAAGTTCAAATGTAATTTAACAAGCATTGCGTTATAGATTTACTGTGCAGCTTGAGTAACGGTGCACATATATATGTATATCTATTTTTATTCACAACATTCTTATACCCGCTATCAAAAAGTGTGCACGTAAAACATTTCTCTCCGATTCGTAATATCCCGGCATAGAATGCACTTGAAAACTCGGGGTTACTTTAGATTTGTCTTTACATCCTAATAGGCTAGCGAGAAATTTCTGTCGTATTTTAGCAACTGGTAACTTCACTTGTGACGACAAAGTAAGTGATTAGAACGCGCTATTTGGCGTCTTATTATTCACTTTTCACCGGTTAATTACGAAGTGCGGAGTGAATAAGATTTTTTTTCTATGGCCACCTACTCAAGGGACGTCGCCTATACGGGCGGGCATGGTGGTATTTATCGGGAAGTGTTATAGGAAGGGAATGGTGGAGAGAAAGAGAGAGTCGTGTTTTTGAATGTTCGACTCGAAAATGGGGACATTGAGTACGGTGGGAAAAACCGCTCCTGGTAGGTTGTTCCAAAGTCGGGCACAGTGGTAGTAGGTAGAAAGCATTGTACTTAGTTTGAGTTCCAGAAAAGAAGCAACGTATCGACTGCGTGTAAAAATTTATGTGAGAACGTGGGTAATTGCAGTTATAAATCTAAAAGTATGCCAAACCGCGTTCCGGATATTTCAGTCTCGAAGAATATTATCGATTTGGTCGATAATGGCATTTTGAATTCCATGTTTAAGAGTAACCCGCATATAACTTATTTGCCATTCCCGCATTCGACTGCTGAGAAACGTGTCAAACAACTTTAAAGTAGGATTTTTCATATAAAATACGGGTAAATTTTCCAATATATATTGGTCTCGTGATCCTAACCGCAAACATTTGGAAAGACGACAAAAATGCAGCCACCGACTTCAAAATTGGCGCGAAGATTGGAAGCCCTTGCATTCACGTTGCTATTGAAATTGAACCAAATCGGTCAAAGGGCATGATTATTACAGTACGACATAACTCGACCACCGAGGCCATAAATAGAGCAAATCGGCTCCGCTTATTCAAAGTTAGAAAATATTAAAATTTCATTCTTTCATCAAAAGAAGTTTCGGGACCCTTATAAACTCTACTTATTATTGATTAATATCAAAGGGCGATGGGTATAAGAAGTTGGCTACTGGTCGAACATAGTTTTCTTTTTTATTCTTTTTGCATTTTGTTAACAAATTTTCTCTCTTTCCCACCTTTTCTTTCTGCCTTCTTCCTTTCTTTACCATTTCAATGAATATATACGCGATAGGGAACGATGGAAGTGAGAGAGGATGGGAGAGAGGGAGATACATAAGAAATTTTCACATCCTTGTTTCTCCACTCACTTGAGGCAGTTAATAATTTATGGCCAAAGCATATTCACAAATTCAAAGTATTATTATCCGTTTATCACATAACTAACAATCAATATCAACGCTTATAGAAATATATATATACACACACACACACACACACACACATTTGCAAATTCCATGCTTAATTGACTTACATACCTATCAAACAAAAAGTGATGGAAATGGTACATAATTCTTATTATTATGTATACATATACGAGGTGCGTTCAAAAGAAAAGGTAACTTTCTTTTTCTCGAAAAATATTTATTCACAAATATTTATGTTGTTCCCCTCAAAGTAATCCCTCTTAAATACGATAAACTTGTGTCAGCGCTTTTTACAATCCTCGCGGGAATCGCGGGAAAGCTCCGTCTTTTCCTAAATTTTTTCAGATTTGCTTGCAGGAAAAAGTCGCAGAACTCAAGCCCGGTGAATAGCGTGACTGAGGCAAGATTATAGTGTTCTTTTTGGGCAAACAATTTCGAAAAAGCCACGACTTGTTATGTTAGCTGGCACATTATCGTTGTCCAATATTCATAACAGATTGTTCCACACAATCCCAGGCTTTTTTTTCTGTTTTGCATCACGCAAACGGCACATAACTTCAAGCTAATATTTCCTAATGACTGCGCGACAAGAACTCACGATGCACCACACCATTGCAATCCGAGAGAAAAGCGAACACCACTTTTCGAACTTTGAGCGAACTTGACGTGCTCTCTCGGTCTTGACTCTTCTAATTGCTTCCATTGAAATGCTAGGGTTTGGGTTTCGACTTATGACCCTTCTGAACAAATCCGGATAGTCGTTGACGTCATTCAAGGGTTCCTGAGCGATGTTTATGCTACGGTACTCTTTCGGTAAAAATGCAGCAATTTCGGAAAAAGGTTTGCTGCTACACGTTTCACGATTGTTGATGTGCTGAGATGTCCAGCATGGGCATCGTTATTAACATTTTCTCGGCCTTGTGTGAAGAGCTTGTAATACTTATGAACATTTTTTTTACCCCAGTCAACTTTGTGATGGATATAATTTATTCTCTTCCATAACATTCATTGCTCGATACCAAAAAAATAATCAAACTCACTCACTTTTACATCTGTCGAAAACAAAGTAAAAATGCAAAATGGCTGTTAACGCCAACATATGTAGAAGACATGGATGCGAACTTAACCAAAAAAAAAAAAAAGAAAAAGGAAAAAATTCGAAATTTGAAAAGTTGCCGGTTTTTTTTTTTTTTTTTTTTGAACACACCTCCTATATATACTAATCAAAATAAAGTAAATTTCAATATCAATTTTTATGAATTTTTAATTTCATTTCATTTAGCCTGCAAAATAGCACCATAATGCATCTTTAGACTTATTAATAACAAGTAATGAAAAAAAATGAAAAGATAAAAAACAAACATTGCATAATGAATTTTTAGAAAATGGAACCGCACTCATACCTAACTAGAAAAATTAAGAACCAAAGATTTTAAAAGACAAAGCAACAAAAAAAAAAAGAAAAGCTAAGAGTAAATAATTAACAAAATGGTATAAATATTATTATAAGAAAAATATAAAATATGCATGCCTTTATTTTATAAATATACATGTATACATATATACATATATGTATATACATATGTATATATGTTATGAACATTTTTGTGTGTCTGTGTATTCATGAAACATTCTCAATACTTTGCTCCTATCGGAAGCGTTAAAACTAAATTAGAAAGAAAAGAAAAAAAAAAGTCTTTTAAAATTTTTTCTGCATGCACCTGCCTGCTTCTCCTACTTTGTTGTTTGCCTAATTGTTGTTTAACTTTCGACTTTCATAGTACTTAGCGTTGTTTACGGTTAACATAATAGAATAGAAGAATATGTGTGTTTAATTGAATGTTATTTGAAAAATCTCTTTTACAAATTTTCATATTAATTTTGTTTTTTCTCTTCTTTTTTTTTTTTTTTTGTTTTTCTTGATTTGTTTTCTCTTCTTCTCTTTTCAATTTTAGTGAAAATCTAAACTTTACGGACTATGACTTTTCGAAATTATTTTGAATGTTATGGATTTATAAATTTACATATATTTATGTATATATATACATACATATTTACACGCATATATGAAACGATTACCGCTATTGCAACACCAACCAACAACAGCTACCGCTTTACAAGAATGACGTCCATTAAATCGACGAGCAAATGAAGATTACGAAATTTCTGACAAAGATGTAAGAATTAACTACGAAAAATAAAATTCCTCCTCACTCACCTATGAATACATCTACTATCGCTCGAGAAACTTTCGTTCACGGTGCACTTGAATAATTAAGATGAAGAATAATTTTAAAGTGCTTTTAAAAGCGTTCTTGACTTTTTTTTTTTTTACACGCGTTTTTCATTTTCTTTTATGAAGATGAAATATTTCATCTTATGAAATATATATCTCTGCGTATTTTACTCTACTCTTTTAAAGTACTGAGAGCATAATATTAGACTAATTTAAAAAATATATATATTAATTTTTTTTTTTTTTGTTTTTTTCTTTAAATCGTGCATAGAAATCCTAAGGAAAAAATTGATGGAATGAATATATAAGAAGTTTTTATAAAAATTACTGAATAAAAATGAAACGAAATGAAATGAAAATAAAATAAAACAGAATAATAATTGTTGCTCTTGCCGCTTCGCCTTTATTTAAATTTTTTCTTCTAAATAATGAATTTCAAAATTCTCTCTCTCTCGTTCTTTGTTGCAATCCGTATGAAACCCATTACTGACAAATAAAATAACGAAAAAAAACAAAAAAACTAATATGAAGTGATATAAAGTAAATAATAAAAAAGGATTTATTAGGAAATATGTGTATATGTAAGAAAAGAATATATATATATATGTATATATATATATCTATATATAAAATATACGTTTACTAGATATCACATTACTTTGTTTTTTATCACCGGATGTTTTTTATACCCATCATCAACGAAAGATAATCAATGATTTTGTCAAAACGTGTATAACGTTCAGAGAGACTTGAGAGACGCAACAAAGTATACGTGTTTTTGATCAACATCAAATTCTAAAGCGATTTTAGCATGTCCATCCATCCATCCATCTATCTATCTATTTATCTATGTAATGTATTTTCCTGCTCGCAAAAGTGCAGCAAGCGATTTCAAATTTAGCACAAACATTGAAAGTTCTTGCACGCAGGTTGGTATTGATAATGGAATGGTTTTTTGAAGCGTATGCCTGCAATGCTATATGAACTCCTCTGAACACCTCTGTCTTTCAAGGGATATAGCAAATTAGTTCTATGCTCATTGGTTATGAACCAATGCAGATAAATCTACAAAAATTTGAACGTTTATTTATAGGTAAAAATGGAAAGAGTTGACCACGTCTACCCTATATTAATTTTTTTTAATCCCTCTATAACGCGCAGAAACGCATAAAGTACATAAGTTCTTGGCAGTTGTCAAAGTTGGTATGCATGTAAGTCTGTCCATCTATCCTCAACATTCTTCGTAGTGCAAAAATGAAGATATCGCCTACAAGTTTGGTCACAGGACAACGCCTACACGCTTTTACAACAAAAACTGTGAACTCTTTTGCTTACCTTATTTTTGCTTGCTACTCATACACACGCACAATACGTACCACCGTATAAATTTTCGTTTTTATTCAGAAAATAAAAGAAGAAAGTTGCGCCTACCCGATATTATAGAGTATCAAAATCTAGTTCTTTTTTTTTTCTAATTTTATAATAACGATGATGGGTATAGAAGATTCGGTCATGACCGAATATAATTTTCTTATTGGTTCTTGTTTTCAAAGGTGTGCAAAATGAATGATCCTTGGAACAGAACGAATTTGCCATTTCAGTGTTATATTTTAATTTCGTTTAAAGATTCTGTGTAGCTAACACCCAAACATAATCGGACGATTTTTTAAGATAATCATAAAACAAACAAAACAAAAAAAAGTGCATGTCTTTCTTCTTCATTTCCCGGTATGTATTTTATTTTTTACTTATGTTGCAAAACATCATTCTGACGTGTATTGCAATAAAAAGGGAGACTATATTAGTTATATATTATATTTAGTAAAAAAAAAAAAAAGAAAAAAATTTATTTCAGATAATATTTTCCTTCACTTCCACGTTATTATAAAAAGACAATTCCACAAAACCGTGCAAAATGACTTACGAAACAATACGATTCATTTTAAATGTAAAACGTTCTAAAACTTAAAAAAAAAAAAAAAAAAAAATAGAAAGCCTATTATATGCTTACATGAAACATTATGATTATCTTGCAAAATGAGAAAAGAGTTACAATATCAATAAAAAAAGGATTTGATTTTTAATTTAAAAAAAAACTTTATTTCTTACACTATCCTATCATAATTCGAACTAGAAATGTTCCTTATTTCATTGTATGAGAACCCTCCATAGATGTATACAATTAAACGGCAGATGCTTGTAAAGCTTGTAAAAATACATTTGTTTCGTCAAAAAATTGCTTGACGCGTATGAATAACGAAACAAGTTTAGCCAAATTGGCTTTAGTGTTGCCTATTGCTCGTCAATGCTCGTCTGCCCATATGTCCGTCTGCCCAATTGTTTAGCATCTGTGGCCAACATTCTTTCGCGTGCAAATTTGCAAAAGAATTTTAAAATGGTTTAAACAGGCCGAAGAATACGCCTGTATATATGCCTATAACGCCCACACAACGCCTGTACAACAAAAACTATGAACAGCTTTGCCGTCTACGTTTTTTGATTGTTACTCATAAAGTACAGCATATACACGATATAAGTACGACGAGTATTAGGAATCCGATAATTTAGTTCGTTTCCCTTTTTTTTAGTCATTCTTAGGATAACGGTGATAAGTAAAAAAAATTCGATAACGACCGAATATAATTTTCTTACTTGTCTCATTTACTTCTGCCCTACTAACCGACTATTTCAGACTTACGTCCAAAAAGAGCCTGTTTGTTATCTATCTCGGGCCATATCGGTGGGCAGAAGTTTTCATTTAAATCATGTTTACAACGAAGGTTACTTAATTCAATATTTTCTGTGAAGTGCAGGTTGTCAAGTTGAACCCATGACCGTGAACGTTTACACCATATTTCTACGAGCGCATAAAGGAAGGGTAATAAAACAGCTGCGAGGACGGGGTCGGGCTTAAATTGACTAACTGCCTTACGCTGACATGCGTATGCGTATTCAAATGCGAAAAATTCGGGAAAAATATTTAATGGGTAGTGTTTAGGATGACAATTGTAAGTTTTTGTATATCCCTCGTATCTAGGCAAGGAATATATGCTCACATTTTTTGACACATTTACACAATTGGTATACATTTTTAATGCTATTTTAAGAGTTAATTGAAAAAAAATATTTAGCAAGTCAATCAGCTTTTAATTAAATGTTAAAAAAAACAATAAGTGTAGTTAAAGCAAAATATACATTAGTTAGATAGCAAAATAAAAACATTTTGTGGAACAAAAATGTACGCCCTAGAATAACGATACAAAAAAAAAAAAAAAAAAAAAAGAAGAAGAAAAACAAATAACCAAAAAATCGGAAATGATGATTATAGTAAACGCGACAAAAATTTGAATCTACAAATATTTTATCTTAAATTTAAAATAAATGTATTTGTAAATGTTTTTAAAATTTTTTAGGTACTTTAGATTGAAAAAAGCGAAATAAGCTCAACGAATTTTATGTGAAACATAAAAAAAAAAAAAAAATATTAAACTAAAAAAAAGACAAAAAAATATATAAAAAATATATGTACATAAGTACATATTTACATATACATACATATGTTAGGGACTGGTGTCGCGGTTAAAAAGATTTTAAAGCGATCCTTGAAGCGGAATAGATGTTGAAAAAAAGCATAATTTTTTACAAAAATGTATTTATTACATCCAGCATCTAATACGTGGGATACATACCATTAGACCGCACACCACTTTCGCTACAGAGTATATTAAGTTTGTGCGGACGGTTGGGGCAACGGGAAGAATTTGAGATAGACGCAACTCTTAGTACGCCGATCGATTCAGAATTATTTTCTGCATCGACGAAAACCTGTTTGTCCATTTGTCGTGTTGAAGTAATTATTAGATCCACCATCCGATACAGTAGGATACATTCATTATACCGTACATCACTTTTGGTGCAGGATATATTAAGTTTGTGGGGACGGTTATAATAGATAGAATGGACGAAAATGTGCCAGACGAACTTGAGATAGACTCACCTTTTTGATCTACCGATAGATTCACAATCACTTCGTGTCCGTCTTGTCTTGTGTTCAATCTAATGGAAGGCAATTTTTTGAGATACTTTTTAAAAATTTCGATGAAATTTGGTACAAGTAATGTATTTTCATTCAACGACGAACGATATTGGAAATGGTTCGGATCGAAAAAATTTTTCAATCACTTTCCATATAAAGCCTTCTTTTGAAAAGTCATTATACGAATAATTGTAAACTAGTGTAGGATAGCCATGGTCCATTATAGTGTTGTTACTTGTTTTAATATAAGTTATTTTATTTTATTAGCCAGAGTACAAATGGTGCGTCTTGCTCTTTATTATTATCAAAGTTTATGTAAACCTTCGATCTACACATGCGACATTCTTTACTGCATCTAGTGTATAAGTCGAAAATGCATGCATGCTGTGCTCGTTTCTGTTTTATGTAATTTCTAAAATATGTTATATATATATATATATATGTGTAATAATAGAGTCTTCTTATAATAATAAAATATTTCCTTTAATGAAAAAAGAAATGCAATAAGATTTTCTGTAAATTTCTCTACTGGATTATCATAATAAGTACTATGCCTTTAAGCGAAACTGAAATTGTGTTTTGTGTTGTTGTTTTTCTTTTCCTTTTTCTAAACTCGTATGTTAATACTATTCGTTATAATTAATTTCATGTACTTCATATGATTAGAAAAATTTTTGAAAGTAAAGACAAAGCTTTTTTTTTTCAAGTTGATGTATTACATATATATACAGTGTGGATCGAAAACAATATTTGCTCAAGTAATTTATGAGTTACATGAACAAAAACGTGGGATAGGCAATCATTTCTTTCTTCATTTTGCATATAAAATGTTACTACAATCAGCACATGAGGGTTTTTTAATTGCCGTTCTGGCCAACGATTTCGACAACTTTGAAGTCCTCATTTCTTCGCTAGCATGCCATGGGGCTTCAAAAATACGGACTAATTAGCGATAAAATGCATGCGCATGACAAAGAGCGATGTCTTTTCAAACCCTATCATCTGTTATAGACTCCTCCTCGTTAGCCTAACAAAAGATAAGTTTTTTCATGATGCTGTTAGTACTTTATCCTCCTAGCGTTATTATGCTGAAGAGTGAGGTAGACTGTCTGTTTCCAATTCACTGAGTCGTTTTTTTTTTTTTTTTAAACAACGTATCTTTCTTTTCAAAACAAACTGACAAAGACGTCCATTTGCAAAGACACGATTGAAACACGCCTTAAGTTTTAAGTAGCAAAGCGCGTAGAAGTGAATATAATGCGGGGAAAGTGATTATCTCATTAAAGTAGTTACCAACTCCATGATATTAGGTTGTTCGGAAAGTGATTTTTTTTTCTTTTTGATCAAAGTAAAACAGGAGCTTTTCATAGTGACTAAATATATTGTTATGGCCGAATGGCCGAATTCATTAAATGTAATCAGTTAATCCCTTTATTTTGCTTTCATCTGCTTCGACTGACCTTCTAGAACGTGGC